AATTGGAATTGGAATTGGAATTGGAATTGGAATTGGAATTGGAATTGGAATTGGAATTGGAATTGGAATTGGAATTGGAATTGGAATTGGAATTGGAATTGGAATTGGAATTGGAATTGGAATTGGAATTGGAATTGGAATTGGAATTGGAATTGGAATTGGAATTGGAATTGGAATTGGAATTGGAATTGGAATTGGAATTGGAATTGGAATTGGAATTGGAATTGGAATTGGAATTGGAATTGAAATTGAAATTGAAATTGAAATTGAAATTGAAATTGAAATTGAAATTGAAATTGAAATTGAAATTGAAATTGAAATTGAAATTGAAATTGAAATTGAAATTGAAATTGAAATTGAAATTGAAATTGAAATTGAAATTGAAATTGAAATTGAAATTGAAATTGAAATTGAAATTGAAATTGAAATTGAAATTGAAATTGAAATTGAAGTTGAAGTTGAAGTTGAAGTTGAAATTGAAATTGAAATTGAAATTGAAATTGAAATTGAAATTGAAATTGAAATTGAAATTGAAATTGAAATTGAAATTGAAATTGAAATTGAAATTGAAATTGAAATTGAAATTGAAATTGAAATTGAAATTGAAATTGAAATTGAAATTGAAATTGAAATTGAAATTGAAATTGAAATTGAAATTGAAATTGAAATTGAAATTGAAATTGAAATTGAAATTGAAATTGAAATTGAAATTGAAATTGAAATTGAAATTGAAAATGAAATTGAAATTGAAATTGAAATTGAAATTGAAATTGAAATTGAAATTGAAATTGAAATTGAAATTGAAATTGAAATTGAAATTGAAATTGAAATTGAAATTGAAATTGAAATTGAAATTGAAATTGAAATTGAAATTGAAATTGAAATTGAAATTGAAATTGAAATTGAAATTGAAATTGAAATTGAAATTGAAATTGAAATCGAAATCGAAATCGAAATCGAAATCGAAATCGAAATCGAAATCGAAATCGAAATCGAAATCGAAATCGAAATCGAAATCGAAATCGAAATCGAAATCGAAATCGAAATCGAAATCGAAATCGAAATCGAAATCGAAATCGAAATCGAAATCGAAATCGAAATCGAAATCGAAATCGAAATCGAAATCGAAATCGAAATCGAAATCGAAATCGAAATCGAAATCGAAATCGAAATCGAAATCGAAATCGAAATCGAAATCGAAATCGAAATCGAAATCGAAATCGAAATCGAAATCGAAATCGAAATCGAAATCGAAATCGAAATCGAAATCGAAATCGAAATCGAAATCGAAATCGAAATCGAAATCGAAATCGAAATCGAAATCGAAATCGAAATCGAAATCGAAATCGAAATCGAAATCGAAATCGAAATCGAAATCGAAATCGAAATCGAAATCGAAATCGAAATCGAAATCGAAATCGAAATCGAAATCGAAATCGAAATCGAAATCGAAATCGAAATCGAAATCGAAATCGAAATCGAAATCGAAATCGAAATCGAAATCGAAATCGAAATCGAAATCGAAATCGAAATCGAAATCGAAATCGAAATCGAAATCGAAATCGAAATCGAAATCGAAATCGAAATCGAAATCGAAATCGAAATCGAAATCGAAATCGAAATCGAAATCGAAATCGAAATCGAAATCGAAATCGAAATCGAAATCGAAATCGAAATCGAAATCGAAATTGAAATTGAAATTGAAATTGAAATTGAAATTGAAATTGAAATTGAAATTGAAATTGAAATTGAAATTGAAATTGAAATTGAAATTGAAATTGAAATTGAAATTGAAATTGAAATTGAAATTGAAATTGAAATTGAAATTGAAATTGAAATTGAAATTGAAATTGAAATTGAAATTGAAATTGAAATTGAAATTGAAATTGAAATTGAAATTGAAATTGTTCTGAAATTGTTCTATCCGTCATTCGGTTGCCCCCTTACGAGCAACCCTCAGAAGTCTTCGAGAGTCTTGTGCGAGCAAGGAATGACGGGGGCCTTACCTTTTAACGTGTCATCCCAAACACTTTCTTGGGCCATCAGAAAAATTTCTGCAGTCGACGGGACTCGAACCCACGACCGGCAAGCGAATGCGGATTAGAATATAGACACTCTGTCCGGACGGCTGCTGCTCTTGGATTCCATCCAGGGAATAGCCATTCGCCTGGTGGATGATGCCACACTCACTAACTCTCCGACCCCATTAAAACACTGTAGAAAAGTCGGCGACCTTTTATTTTTCTATAGATACTTCCACGGAAAATGTTCCTCAGAAATCTCTACTATAATTCCATCACTAGCAATAACAGTCAGACGAACTCGACAGCCCCAGTCGGCACATCCCTTCGTCGTTAACCTTGAAAAATGTCGAACAAGACTCTATTAAAAGTCGTTCGTCTATACCGGGTGACACAGGGTATCGGGACACGCCTGTAACTTCTGCTTTCGTCATCGGATTTTTCTGAAATTCGGTACAGTTATATAAGCAATTATTTCGGATTTTATCACATTACAACCCAATATGGCGGACTTCCGGTATTTCTGGAAATGCCAGCAACTTTGTTTTTTCAAATGAAACACCCTGTATATTTTCACATATTCAAGTTCAACAGGTCGAAACAAGTGCAATCTTTATTTCAAATGTCATTATTTCGAAAAAAATTGAATTAAAATTGTTTTTTTATTTTACCTCGTGGATAAATGAGATGTGGTCAAGACTATTCACAATGAGTCACACATAACAGAAGAACATAATTTTTTCTGAAAAATTATTATTTGTGTCACTTATCCAGATTCAGCCACATCACTTTTTGATCAAAAATAATTTGTTTTCAAATGGAACCCCTATGGGCCACCTACCCGTTTCTCTAAAACATACATTAAGGAACAAAATGAAATATCATTTTTGTTTTTCGGTGCAGTAACAAACTGTATACATTCAAAAATCAACAACTAGTTTATGAACTTCCTTGCAGTTAGAATAATTTTTCAACTAGGTAGGCTGTGGAATAAATGACATTTGACATCAAGATTGCACTTGTTTTGACCTGTTGAACTTGAATATGTGAAAATATACACTGTGTTCCATTTGAAAAAACAAAATTGCTGGCATTTCCAGAAAAACCGGAAGTCCGCCATATCGGATTGTAATGTGATCAAATCCGAAATAGTTGCTTATATAACTGTACCGAATTTCAGAAAAATCCGTTGACGAATGCAGAAGTTACAGGGGTGGCCCGATAGCCTGTGTCACCCGGTAGAACGGCGAAGCTTTGGAATTCCATGCCAATGGAAATATTCCCGAACTTATAAGCTCCATAAGTTCAAAAAAACTCCAACACCTACCCCCTCTCCCTATCCTCCCTAGGTACTCACGATGTTCCACGAACATTATAGGAATTTGCTTTCGAGCGCTCCGAGAGAAAAATAAATAAAACCGTCATGTTCCTCTATAGTTCCGTATGTGTGTGTATGATGTATGTATATATATATACAGGGTGTTCCAAACTCGATGACCTATCAAACGTTTCTGGAGAACGGGACATAGGATCATTTTGAAAATTTGGTTTCATGGGTAATCAGTTCTGTTCTATCGATCTAAAATATTTTTAGCGCTTTGAAGTTGCCGCTTCTATCGAAAAATCGCAATAATTTTGCTATTTCGAATGGAACACTCTGAAGAGCCGATCAAATTCAGTAATTTCATTTGTCGAAACTATTGGTAAAATCGGCTTCCATGTCTCTATCTCAACGTTTGATTTTTAATTATATCTACTGACATTCAATTGAACCAAATACAGGGTGGTTTATACTTTGAAATTCTGTTTCAATTAAATGTCAATTGATAGTAAATGAAAAGTTAAGATAGAAACATGGAAGCTATTCAAACCAACAATGAATAGTTTCAACACAAAAAAAACTCGATTTTCACATCCTATATCCCTGTAATCGTTCCCGATAAACCCCAAGTACAATAGACCGAAGAAATCAGCTCTTCAGGAAGAATTTGAAAACGCAATAATATACAAGGTGTTATATTCGAAATAACAGAGTTCATGCTACTTTTTACAGCGCTGAAAAAATGTTTAGATTGATTGAGCAGAACTGATTACCCAAGGCATTGAATTTTCAAAATGATCCTATGTTCCATTCTCCAGCCACGTGTCTCAGGCCATCGAGTTTGGGACACCCAGTATATAAAAATGGTGTTGGGACGAAAGGAAGTTATCATTTGTATACATTCAAATGATAATAGATGTACCTATTGGAAACGTCACTTTTATTACGTTGCAGTGACGTATCTATGACGTCTAAAATTCACAAATTTGTCAGAAATTCGCTATTTACATTTTTGTTGGGCGCCAAGAGATGCATGTTTATACGTTACACAACAAATTGTAGCTCAATTCGCCAACATCCTTTACATTGCTATCAAACTATTCTTGGTTTACTTACATCTAGCCGACACAAACTATATAATTTTGTATACAAATACGAGTAACTGATCTCATTATGATGGGATTGCATACTAAAGGATAGCATTGCTGAATAGACGATTGAATTAACATGTCACCGGAAGGACCACCAAGCAGTCTCAACAATGCATTTGCCAATATTAGACGTCATCAGAGATCAGTGGTGTTTATCACGCTAATTTGAGGAAACTTTTTTACGTTTCATCACCATTTTGTGGTTACTGACGTCAATAAACGTGAATAATATGACGTCATTAGGCTGTGACTTATTCACGTCATTAATCACGTCATACGACGCCAACTCCTGACGTCACCTTGGTCATTCATCTGACGTAAAAAGACGCCACTAAAACGTCATCTGGTTGCCTAGGTTGTTTTTGAGGCTCCTCTCCGCTTATTTTTATATCATGTGACATTTATTGGAGGCATCAATGCCTCTTCAAACATAAGAGTTGAGAGGGGTGCCAAAATGTGTGAACAGTTGAATTGACATTTCTTTTTGAATTTCGTAGTTTGGTTTACCTGTGTGAAATAAACGGAATCATATTCAGACGATTTCTTCTCCAATTGGTCAACAGCAATGTTAGAGATACTTTTGAGCTCTTCGAACAGTTCTGCATCATGATTTTTCAAATAAACTTCTTCTGGAAAATGTTCAGGAGTCACAATTTCACAACGTTCTCTCAATTTGAGAGCAGCTAGCCTAAAAAGATAAGTATGTCTTATGAATCCTCTTATTTTAGTATATCGGAAAAAAAGCTAAGCTCATTCCAACTATTATCTATTCTTAGATTAATCAATCAATCTCGTATAGTATTATAAAATCGATCCCAATGATAAAAATATTTCTTGTTGCTTATTCATCTTATGTACATTTTCAGTATGACTCTTCAATTATAATTTCTATAAATTCAATGAACTTTCAAGTCCTAATGAGTGGTTTTATCAACTGAAAACGCTGAGATTTTTTTTTTCAATTTCTTTTTCTGTTCCAATGACAGTTCTAGTGCTACATTCTTATCTCATACCAGGACACTATGGCTAAATAGCTATCAATGTGCTCTGGTGTAATTGTCAACTCTAAGTTGGCATCTAGAGAAGTTCTCTATCCAGAGAAATGTCGAAAGGGGGCTATCTTGGAGAAAATAGCAAAACTGAGAATATACCTATTCTATTTAAAACCATCAAGAACAATGTATCTTATTAACTTCTTCAATATAGCTCCCTTTCGACATTTTTCTGGATATAGAACTTCTCTCAATGTCAATGGAGAGTTGAAGATTTCACGAGAATGAGTGAATAAGCTAATATCCGCCATTTTGTTCACAATGAATATTTCTGTCTGAAACTCTGGTGTCGTACGAAAAATTGAAAGAAGTTTCGCCTGAGGTATCATTCGCTCCCCTCCGCATTCCATTTAAAAATATCTTCCAGAATGGCATCCAGTCGCCATTTTGAAAGATACATATCTTTGATTGAAATAAAAGTGTGGCACTTGAACTATCATCGGAACAGAAAAGAAATAACAAAAAATTCCAGCCGTCCGAAAGTTAACTAGTGGGTTACTTTATGGACACAGTGTATATATAATTATGTTGTGAATTTTGGGAATTCCAACATTCGCAAAACCAACATTAACAATCAAATTTTGTCACGATCTTCAGGTTCTCGTTTTTTTTCGCAAAATCTTTCAGCCAGGGCCAGAACACCTTTCTCCTATTGAAGGAATGTTCAAGATCTGGTTCAATAATTGGTTAGGAGGGTTATTGTGAAAGAAATTGAGTTTGTTGATTGCTTTTGTGCAGAATTATCATCTTTCGATTTGAATAAAATATTTTGGTCGTGAAATCTTGGAATAGAGGAAATCGCGATAAACCATTTCAGAGAAAAATTCTTTGTGTTCAAATTATTGTCAAATATCTCGCGGAGCCTCCTACTTTGGATACCTTATTCAGAAGACCAATATACAGAATGGAAATTTCAAAAGGACCTTCTATAGGCTCCAGACTTCAGAAATGGAAGGTATATGAAAGTGTGTTTCGACAACTTCAAAGACGACGTATTCTACAGACACCCTTCTGGAAAACTCAAATGAAAAAGTGGTTCATGTGAGGCTTATTCATAGTGGGAGCGTCCAGTGAGACGTTGCAATTGTGTCGCGTTTGAGTCGCGCCGAGAGTCGCGTCGCGTCCGCATGCTGTTTTCATCACAGTGCAAGCGTATTTCTAGGTTCTTCAAAATGGCTGCCACGAGAGCACTTGATTTATTTCTCTCGCTTGAAGTACCATGTGATTTGAATAGAATAAGATGGAAGTGAATTGGGATTCACCCTAATGATTTTAATTTTTGTAACCAGCTAATTTCATGTTCTATAGGGCAGGTCCTGCATGTATTTCTGAAATCAGGAATTCTTCAACATCCTCTTCATATTCCGTGGAACTGCGCATGCTCCCGATGGTTTCGGACTGTTTATTTTTCGAACGAGAACAAACCTATTGTATATAATAGTGCAACGCTACAAAAAAATACAGATTGTTTATGACGCTGACGCTCTGGGAACGCTATCTGAACGCCTGAACACGACGTAGAATGAACGGCGCTCATTAACTCTGAACGTATATGTACAGGGTGGCTGGAATTCGAGCCTCATCATTGGGATCTCGTGAACCGTGAGAGATACAGGGTCGGTTAAATTATGGCAAAGTTGAGCAAATTCATGCCTAATAAAATGCCGTTCTGAAACTTGGAAAATTCCGAATACTTTCGGAGATATCCGAAAAAAATCGAAATTCCATAAATTCGTTTTTATTTTTTTCTGGCGTTATTTGAAGAAATTAATCGATATGAATAACACTTTATCAAGGCCACTTTTTCTTCCCTACAACATGATGTTTTCAAATTTGAAATCTGACGTTTCGTCTTCCAGAAACCATCATCCACTTACTTTTTTTAAATACGGACCTGGATTTTTTATTTCATTTTTTGTTACCTTCAGATAGCCCAAAAACTATGAGCTATCACAAATTTCGATTTTCAAATGTTTCAATGACTTTAGTAGGCCCCGAAATGCGTATGGCGGAAGATTTGGAGCTGAAGATGAAGGAGCTGTCATAAATGCGGTAAGTTTCGAAAAGAAATAATTTATATTTGCAATAAATTTGATCCAGAAATTTTGAAGGTTACGAAAAATCCCCGAGGTTCCACACGACAATTTGCTCTAGAATTGAATATGCCTAGAAGCCGAATTCAGAAGATTCTCAAAAATCATAGGTATCATCCTTATAAATTACATGTCAGCCAAGAACTAAGACCAAGAGATAATGAAAGAAGGCTAGAATTCTGCAATTGGCTTGATAGAAAATTGCAACAGAATGAAGATTTTTTAAATAACATTATCTGGACGGATGAATGCAATTTTTCTACGAGCGGCCTTTTCAACAGAAATAATGAGCATTATTATGTAGTGGAAAATCCGCACCAAAATCAGCAAGTGCGAAGGCAGGGACGGGCATCATTCAATATCTGGGTGGGGCTGTATCGAAACAGAATCTTGGGGCCAATTATTTATGATGGGAATTTAAATAGTGATCGGTACCTTCATTTCATCTAAAATTTAGATGCTCTTGAAGACGAGCCGTTAAATATACTCCAGCAACTATGGTGGCAACAGGATGGCGCACCACCCAACAATGGAAGGGCCGTTACTCAGTATCTAAATGAAACATTTCCCAATCAGTGGATTTGAAACCAAGGAGTGGTGCGCTGGCCTGCAAGAAGCCCCGATTTTTCCCCGCTGGATTACTTTTTATGGGGATATTTGAAAAACCGTTTATTTAAAGATATTCCACGGGACATAAATATTTCACGACAAAATTTAATGTTTGGAATAACAACCCTACGAGGTAGAGGAAGAATAATGATACGAAAATGCCAAGAGGTGCAAGGGGGACTATTCGAGCATTTACTTTAGAATTTCATTTTGTTCTTATTACAATTTAGTTACATAGTTCACATATTTTTTACCCTTAGTTATATTACTGATGATTACATAGTTCACATATTTTTTACCCCTAGTTATATTACTGATGAATAATAACTCGAATAATAATGTTTCAAAAATAGTTTCGGATTAAATATTTTGAAAAAATAGAGAAACTGTGAATTTTAGTCATTGAAACATTTGAAAATAGAAATTTGTGGTAGCTCATAGTATTTGGGCTATCTGAAGGTAACAAAAAATGAAATAAAAAATCCAGGTCCGTATTTAAAAAAAGTAAGTTGATGATGGTTTCTGGAAGACGAAACGTCAGATTTCAAATTTGATAACGCCATGTTGTAGGGAAGAAAAAGTGGCCATGATAAAGTGTTATTCATATCGATTAATTTATTCTAATAACGCAAGAAAAAAATAAAAACGATTTTATGGAATTTCGATTTTTTTCGGATATCTCCGAAAGTATTCGGAATTTTCCAAGTTTCAGAACGGCATTTTGTTGAGCATCAAATTGCGCAACTTTGCCATAATTTAACCGACCCTGTATCTCTTACGGTTTACGAGATCCCAATGATGAGGCTCGAATTCCAGCCACCCTGTACATAAATCATATACCTATACTAAATATATGCGGATAACATCCTATTGTTTTCATGGTCGAAAAAGAAGCCAGTTTTGAGAAAACAAATGACAGTCTGCGGTTAAAAACAGATTTAGACGCAATCGCGGGTTTTGTCAAAATCACGAGTCAAAATGTCGACAGCATTTAATTTTTACAGGTTATGTTGTTTCGTCGAAAGTCGAAATTCATTTGAGGTGAGGTGTGATGATTCTTGCGGTGATCGTCGTATGGTCAACATCGTGTCGTATAGGATTTTACCGGTAAAATCCTGCTACCTAATCATAACCTGTGTCCTGTAGTAGAAGCAGTAGAAGGGTGTATATTTCTGATAACTAAAACAAGTAAGTGTATGTAGTTGTCCTGTCTGGGGTAATTTCTCTGGAAAATAGTAGAATTTTGGATTTTTTTTTCCTGTTATACATAACATATTTTTTCGGAATTGTAAAATCTTATTCTTGGCTTTACTTCAAAATGGGTGATAACTCTCCCGGTGATCCCGGGGGAAGTTTAACTTCTCTCAGTAAAGATGTTTCAGAATGCAAAGAATTGATAGATAGATCGCCTTCCACTAGGGAAGCGGTTGGCAATTTATTCTTATTCGCGAACAATCATGAATTCAATCCTCATATATGTAATGAATTAATATCAAATATTAACATCAATGAGGAATTTATCTCTGAATTCAATGAAACTATAAAAGATGGATATTACTTTGATGAAGAAAGTGATCTCAAGGTCAAACTTCCTTCATCAAAAATAAACATTTTATCAGACCTGTTGGTGAAAAAAGCCGACTCTTCAGATAGGAATGTCAACAAAAAAACTCCAAGGACAGAAACAAATAAACCTAGGGATAGCAAGAAATCTAAAATAGATAATGGAAATAATAATAACCTTGATAATAACTCAAAGGAATCATCTCCTCAAATTGATGTAATAGATTGTTATGATGAAAATAATGCTACAGGGAATAATATTAATACTGATCAAGAAAATAGATTTGATAAATCTGATTTTGGCCCATTCTCCATTTATATAGAATCTTTAGACAAAAACATTGGTTTTCTATCCAATTTAGCGGTAGGCA